CTACTTATCAGCACGTCGGAATACTTCAAAAACTTCTGGCTGCAGCACACTGCTCAAAACTGAAGTGACTTTACTTTTAACCGTGTCATTCACTCATTTCTCTCTTCTCCTCCCCTCGCTTCAGCGGAGTACATTTCAGAGCTCTGCATTTTCTCAATCAGAGCTTTTGGTGAGTGGCAATTTTTTTTTTTGGTTCTCATGAATTCTCACGTCTCTTCTGAAGAGGCCGATCGTGCTGGGTTTATGGGTTGCCCTGGTACTTTGCTAAAGTGGCCATTCTTCATGTCTGAGCCACTGAGTGAGAATTGGCAGGTTATTTAACCAAGTGGGAGAATTAACAGCTGTAACAGATACTGCCTTCATCTGGCATATATCAATCCTATAATAATAATCCTTGCATTTGATATAGCGCCTTATCGTGTCATTGAGGTTTCAAAGTGCTTCACATAATGTACTGTAAAGTGAATTGACTGTATATTTTGTGGGTGAAACATGGCAACCAATTGCACACAGCAGTGTCCCACAAACAGTCGTGGGTTGAGCAGCCAAATTATTATTATTATTTATTACCCCGGGAAAGCGAGCTGCTAATCATCTAACAACCGTGTTCCTACTTACTGCTAGGTAAACAAAGGTGTGTGGGTTAAGATTTCACCCTGCCCTGGAAATCGAACCCGGATTCTCTCATTTAAGAGGCGAGTGCTCTGACCTCTACTCTGCAGGACTCCACACATCTACACATGGGCACTTTCCAGCAGGAGTCACTGGAGAGCAATCAGGACTGAGTAACCTCAGCTGATTGCTTTTCTTCCTACACCTGAACCCAGGGAAATGAAGCTCTTTAGAAGACCCTGACTGCTGTACCAGCTGCGATCAGCCAAACATAATGTCTGAACCAGTTCCCCGATGTTCATTAAGGTTATTTTGGATACATTCTCACTATTTTGTCTTTCCCGGAGAATCTTCTTTTTGTGGAATTTCATGTAGTTGTGCCTTAGAATAGTTTCGTGACCAGCTCAATCGCTTCTCCAGCTGCTGCAGAAATGTAAAGAAACATCCACAAGAGCATGCCTCAGCCTCCTTACCACAGAATGTTCCAGGAAGAAAATGTTTTTAATATTGGCAACTATGTCTTTAATAGTAGCCCCTTTTATTTATTATCAAAACACCCAACTGAAAAAGCAACTGTAAGCAGCAGAAAGTTAACTGTTTGCTGATTCACGCCATTCAGACCACTATAGCTGAATCACATGAGAAATCACACATTTCTCAATCCAACTTCTCAACTAACCACATGCAGAATACATCTCCCTTTTCCTCTACACACCAGACTGGATCTCCAAATGTTACTACAGGAGAGAATTCCAAGCTCATACATAAACTTTACTTGCATCTGAATCTGCAAAGAAATACAAACTGAGTCGTTTGCCTGCTTATTTTGGTCTTCAAAAACACAACTGTCCAAATTACACTTCTTAAGGATTTAGTGATCTTGTTTTGGGCAGGATTTAGAGTAATTAATTTTTGTAATAATGTCTGATTCTCTGCGCCCGATGTGTTTTATTAACTGGCTCGGTTGCTATAGAAGCAATCTACTCAATAATAACTGTGCAAGGACAACAACTGTTGCTGGAGAATGGCTGGTAAAGTTCAATTGCAAGTTTTTATTACAAATGTAAAATTAAAGGAAAGCATCAATGTATTCCTGTCCAGCATTTGCCACATCCCTTGAAAATTTGTAGCTATGCATAATTAGGGAGATAGGGAATCACAAGTCGGCCTGTTCCTTGTCCCATCGCATTGAACGTGGCAATGACTGCTTTTTTCCCCATGTTAGCACAATACATCTCAGTTAAACACAAGCATTTGTTGCAGTGAAATTCAGTCACATTTTCTAACCCTTTGAGAAATGCAATGGCAATTCTGTTTCAGTCAGACTAAACGCAATATTTAAATTTTTTCACTCTGGTCCAGAACTCATCCTGTGAAGTGCTTTGAGATGTCTTGATAACATGATAAAGCGCTATATAGCAAATGCAAGGATTATTATTATTAGTAACTCAAGATTCCCAAGTCCTCTCTCGCACCAAGGTTTTATCTTCTGCATCCTGGCTCGGCTCCATTAACTCTCCATCCCCTAAATGCATCGAATTCCAGATCCTCAATCACACTTTCAAATTCCTCCATGGCCTCAACTTACCGTACCTATGCGACCTTCCAACTGCATCTGCTTCCTCTGCTCAGCATATAGTCTGATTCATGTGTCTCACTAAACCCGTCCTACCATCAGTGTAGTGGGAAAGCTTTCAGCCATTCTATCCCTGTTCTCTGGATCCCAGGATCCCCCACAATTCCCGCTCCTTCCCTGCCTTCAAACCCCTCAAGACATATCTTTTCAAACACTATTTATTATGGGTTGGCATTATAATAATAATCCTTGTATTTGATATAGCACCTTATCACGTCTTTGAGACGTCTCAAAGCACTTCACAGAATTTACTGTAAAGTGAATTGACTGTATATCTGTGGGTGAAACGCAGCAGCCAATTGTGCAAAGCAGTGTCCCACAAACAGTCGTGGATTGAGTGACCAAATTTCTTTAATTTATTTTGAAGGAATTGTTACCCTGGAAGAGCAATCCGCTAATCGACTAACAACCGGTTTCCTACTTGCTACTAGGTAAAGAGGCATGTGGAGTAAGGAAGCTTACCTAATGTTTCATCCTGCCTGGGAATTGAACCCAGGTCCTCTTGCTCGCAAGTCGAGTGTTCTAACCCCTTGACTACAGGACTCCACTTGTTAAAAACATAGTTTGCCTTGTTTTATATTATTCCCCTGATTACTCTCTTTGCTGGACTTCTCCATCTGCATTTCCAGAAATCTCAATTAATAACCAGTGATGAGATGATTTTCCTCCAGATTTTCCTCCTCTTCTTGGAGGCTCGACTGAAATTGGGAAGTCAACCTATAAGGAATCCCTCACACAAATTTGCACCCTGCAACTAGACAGCTCAGGGTGTTGGAGCTGCAATGGGCCATGGATTATAATGATAAACTCATTGAAACAATGACTATGCTTATATCAGTTACTGCTGCAATTGAGTAGCTCAAAACTCAATGAAACCTGAATGAACAGAAACAAAGCTGCTGTGAGATCTCGTACCAGTGAAAGCTGATCCTGATTCAATACCAGAACAAAACAAGGGCAGACTTGATTTACACTAATCCCAACCATCAGGTTTGCGTTCCAATAATTACTCCCAACTCACTGATTTTTGTCATATGTTTATATATTCCTTTTTGAACTTCATGTTACCTCCCTCCAGCCAAGACTGTTTGGGCTACAGACTTCACAATTCTACGCCTTATCAGAGAAGAGGTTCCATCAATCAATGCAGTGCCCAGTAGTACTGCATGCAACTTTCTCCAGATACAGAGAAGGAACAAAAAATATTAACAGGGTATCCTGTACTGCACTCACCATAGGTCATTAGTGTGATAGCATTGGAGCTCTGTATTGTATTGGTTAGAGCATTTGCCTTGCAAGCGAGAGGACCCAGGTTCGATTCCCAGGTGGGGCAAAAGATTTTTTACTCCACACGCTTCTGTTTACCTACCAGTAAGTAAGGAAGCTCGTTGTTAGTCGATTGGCAGATCCCTAGAATTAATAATAAGTAATTTGGCCACTCAATCTATGACCATTTGTGGGACACTGCTGTACTCAATTGGCTGCCGCTTTTCACCCACAAAATATACAGTCAATTCACTTTACAGTAAGTATGAAGTGTTTTGAGCAGTCTCAATGACGTGATAAGGCGCTATATCAAATGCAAGGATGATTATTATTGTCATGGTTACTCAGATGCCAAAGGACAAGACCATCCACCCTCCACAAGTGCAGGGCCAGAAGAAAGAGGGGGGAAGGCAGCTATTTTATTTAGATCCGATGTAGGCTTATGACTTGAATAACCATGCTACCTTATCTAATAACATTATTATCCCTCTGTTTCTCATATACAACATATCAGTATTGATTGTAACCTGGTAAATGAATTTAGAAGCAATTGCCGGTGTAACACCCAGCTTGCTCATCAATATTCCTTCTGTGTGGCACAGAAGACACAGCAACCACTTTCCAGCTGATTTAGAACACAAATGTACCAAATAGTTTTATTTTCACTTCACACATACATAATGTACAAAACAAAAGCAAATAGCTGAAGTAGGCTATAGTCCAGTAGCCATCTCTGCAAAAAAATACAGGCTGCTTAGAAACAAAACATCCAGTCAGTCCAAACAATATTTTAGTATGTTTAAAGTTTTTGAATTAGCAATTTTCCTGCACAATTATGGCTTTTAAAGGAGAGTATCCACCTACTGTGGGGCATGTAATACTGCATGTAAGAATAGCAGTAAATGACTGAACTGACTTTACATTGCTTTTAAATCTGTTTTAAATTACAATTCAAAACACAAATCAATTTACAATGCGTCACAAAAAAACAATACCAAACTTTTGTTACTCTTATTAAATGCAGCAATAAACTATAGTGGAATAAAATAGCAAATCTCATAGAGGATGAACATTGTTTTAGTACTGTGTAATTAAACCGCTTTGCTGCCATTTAAAAGGTTTAGAACACGAGTCCAACCTGATATCCTAACTTTACAGATTGTTAAAGTAACATCGTCACTTTGGGTGTATACACAAATAAGCCACATTTTCATTATCCAGTGTATTCAAAATATCACTCACAAATAAATGTAATGCTATAATGAGGAAGNAAAAAAAGAGGGTGACTTATTAATATCATACTCTCAACTCTGCAATGAAAAGGCTACATGACAATCTTATATTTTATTATTACTGAAATTGAGATGAACTGAGCTATCAGGATACTTGGCTGTTTAAAGGTAAGGTCTTGAATCTGACAGCTACAGTTAAATCTGAATAAAGGGTCGTGCATTTAAGTTCCTTTGTCATGTTTAACACGGCGGTAGATTTGTCTGGCTCAAGTCAGTCATAATGTCAAACTATGTCAAATTGGAGTGGCAGAACTCTGAATATGCTGTGCAATGGGATGGTCAAGAATAGCCCAAGGATGTGATCAGGTCTGAACCCATTCCTGACCAGTTTATACAGAAACTCTCAATATGGCACGAATTCTGGCAGCTATTTCTGTTTGAAAGTTAATTAATACCACAGGTGTTGGCTACGATAAATGAAAATATTTTCAGATTTCCACAAGCATGACATCAGCAGATGCAAGGAATGCATTCTTCTCCGTCTCCGGTCAGACAATTTCCTGCTCCCGTTTTCCCAACACTAAAATACTGTGGTGGGGTTACATTTAACATCTCCAGCTTTCTGACTTACCGCTTTAAAAATAAATAAAAATTGAAAAATTGTAGACCAATATTCCAGACCTGCACATCTGTGCTGATTTCTCTAGGAGTACTGATAGTCAGGCTTTCGTTCACGCAACACCGACTTTCACTGGGATACAGAAATGGTCAACAAGATCATCAGGAAGGACAACTTTCTTGTGACCTGTGGGTTCTACCATTTTTTGAAAGGCAAGGAGTCCTGCAGATAAAAAATTAAATTCCTTGGCAAATTTAGTAAAATCGAATGTTTGCCCCTAAAGGATCTTTACCTTGATTCTTTACTTCGGGTAAAGGGTATTTTTCAGCTCCGCAGGGATATGAGGCACCTTAAATGACCAAATACAAAGCCTGAACTGTCTTTCTAGCATCATAATAATTCCCATTATTAAACTAAGATGAAAATGAATTCTCACTTCACAATAAACATGTGGTATGAACAGAATAGGTCACTGAGTATAATATTTAAGATTTTCACTCATGAGGTTGGCTGGTACATAGTTAGGTCTTCATCAAGTAACCTCATTTGGGGAAATATGACTATTTCTATCTGGGTGGCCATAACCTATTCTCTTATCAGTGAAATAGAAGTATTTTATAGATTTTGTTACAATTATTAAATTGCATTTACTTTATGTGCACATCATTCATAGAATGCAACACATATGAATTTTTACTGCTTATACAAAAATAAGATCCAAGGTGTAACTAGAAATATAGGTCTGTACCTGTGAAGAGGATATAGAAACAGAAGCCCCTTTTTGATATGCGTTATTTACCTATTTTTAATAAACATTTGTATCAATTTAGCTCTAAACTTTTTCCCCAAATCATTTTTGGCCTTGTCATTAGGTATTCATTCCAGTCACAGATTTCTTGACCATTTTACCCTCCCGATCATTAAAACCATATATTTTCTTTATAATACATTGCAGCACAACACACCCTTCTATAATAAAACCTGAAAAACAAGATTGAATTGTTGGCATTATTGGCATCGGGCCAATAGTATACATTATTTTGCCAACTGAAATTACACTGATCTAGAAGAGTACACACCCTTTTACTAATGCTGCCTGCTGCTGATCAGAAAGACTTAGCTATTTAAGTGTGTTGTATTCCCCTTTCTTTTAACGAAAAGTGCACATAACGGGAAATGCAGGATTTAACATCTTCGTAATGCCCAAGTCCGCAAGAGACTTGCAATCCTATTAACATATTGTGAGATTCACAAAATATTGCATGCAATTCTTTCAATAGTCTGGTTTAAAATGTTAGCACATAATTAGATCAAATTAAAAAGGTAACTTTTTAGTAGACAAGACTGCAGATATGCTTCACATTAAGTTATGTAAAGTTAAAACAAAATTGGTATCAATTTCATTATAAAGACTTTAATATATTTTTTTAAATGTGGTTCACCTACAACGAGGTTAATAAATTTGAATTTAAATGGATTTTTGAATCAGGTTATATAGATGTCATCGCTTTGAAGCCCAAAAGCACATTTTCAGCCAGACATGAAAGCCTCACAAAACGTAGGTGCAGACCTTTATAATCTATGCTTGTAGCAGCTGGTTGACCAAATATGTATGAGATCATTTTCAAAAAGCAGCTCAAACCTTTGGGCAGGTCTTTGCTACAGTGACAACTGCTTCCCTGAATGCTAAGACGTCTAAAACACTAGTAAAATTTACAATGAGATTTGCAGATATACTGGTCTTATAGTTAGGTTGTCCAGGAAAGCCCATCTTGGGGGAAAAAGAAAATACAGCCATTAATTCAGCTCAAAACAACTGCACTTTGCAAAGACGTAGATAAGGCTGCAGGTATGCTTCATATTATGCTAAGTAAATTCAAACAAAATTGGCATCAATTTTATTATAAATGTCTTTCTTCATCAGTTTAAGTGATGAGGAGGGAATGGTTATGGTAAATAGACAAATAAGTATTAACACCAACTTGTATTAAATTATGTAAACATGTACATCTTCTGAGGTCAGAACAGAGATCCTCGTGTCCAAGAAGTTACTGAACCTGAAGCATGGTTCGGATCTGTTTAGAAGCTGTTTCGTCATTCAGGTGCCTTGTGGTATACCTATGGAATGTTGAACAGGAATCACATATTAAACAAAGGACTAACTAATCAGTCATGTTCAAAAGACTGGACAACACGCAGTTATTTTCACTACAGCAGTTTCATGCATCTGGACTGCTTGTGGGTGACATTAATTGAAAATATTAGACATTTGCCAAAAGACAGCCAAAGATTAAACATGCAAACTTACATCTGTTGAAGTGCTAAGATTACTAAAATCAAAACAACAGCCACAGCTCAACTACAGCAGTCACAATACAACTTGCACTTATTCTGCCTTCTACATAGGAAAACATGTCAAAGCACTTCACAGAGATGACATTGTCACCTCAAGGCTTGACTACGGAAACTCTCTCCTTGTCGGTCTCCCCAACTCTTCCCTTCAGAAGCTGTAGATCATCCAGAACTCTGCAGCTTGTGTCCTCTCCCGCACCAGTCTCTGTGACTTCATCACCCCCACCCTCGTCTGGCTCCAATAGCTTCCCATCCCTCAGAGGATAGAATTCGAAATCCTCGTCAGCGCCTTGGGACGTCCTCCCGAGGTGAAAGGCGCTATACAAATGTAATTTTGTTGTTGCTGTTGCCTCACTTTCAAGGCCCTCCATGACCTTCCCCCCTCCTACATCTCTGACCTGCTGACCCCCCTATCAACCTGTCCGCTCCCTCTGCTCAACAGGCTCCGGCCTGCTCTAGGTCTCCCTCCTAACATTGGTGGCCGGGCTTTCAACCTCTCTGCCCCCACTCTTTGGAAATCCATCCCACAATCCCTTCACCTCGCTCCCTCTCTTGCCTCCGTCAAGGCCCGACTCAAGAGCCTCCTTTTTGTCCGTGCCTTCTGCCACCCTCCTACCCCCTCTACCCTCCCCCATGCCAATCCTGGCCCCCAATGCTCGGGTCCTGATCCCTGATTGTTCAGTGCCTTGGGACGTCCTCCCGACGTGAAAGGCACTTTATAAATGTAATATTGCTGCTGTTGTTGTGGGAGGCAAAGCGGGGTGAGAGAAAGGAGACTGTAGCCACAGATAAAGAGGAGTTGTTTTTTTAATATGTTTTGAAAGCTGTAAGGGAGGTTGCAAGATGAGGGATCTGGAGCTGCGGAGGGTGAGGTAGGGATGAGATGGGTGACTTTATAGAGATGGAGAAAAGCAAATTTGGCCAAGAATCAGAGAAGAAGTTTAAAGAAGCTATATGAATAAAAAAAACTTACCTGAGTGCATTCAGAAGACCTTCCACATTGTTTGGTGGCTGCTCTTTCAACACTTTAATGCATCCTTTCATCTGAGAAGCAAAGGAAGCAGCTATTGGCCTGATTCAATGCTCAGCTGTAGTATCCCCACAAAGTTTTTAAATACTTAATTTTGCCATGGCCCAACTTTGATACCACAATTGCTCCATTAGACTATCAATATTGCATTCATAATTTTCAATGTGATGTACTATTGTGCCCTTTATTTGCCCAGAAGAATCTAAATAGGGTCCAACTCAAGACAAACAGCCATCCATCTCGCTATCACCCTCGCACAGTCTCTCCTGCATATTTGTTTCAAACATGCAGCTGACCAAAAGTAAAATGAACTAGCATTAAATTGTCCATAGTAAAGACCTGAGAGCAATCCTGAGAGCTGATAACTGCCAATCCACCAGAATATTACTGCATTCTATGCCACACTCTTATTTATTCATTTTTGCTCCACATAAGGGATAATTATTTTTCTCAGACATATTATTCTTACATCAATTTTTGATGTCTTTGCAAAGGCTCCCACAGGATGCACGTGATCGTAAAGTATGATGACGCCCACCATCACTCTCATACAGAAGAGTAGTGTTTCATCATTGGTGAATCTGCTCCTGTATTCCCTGTTTTTTTCCAAAAAAAATAAAGATATTATAAAGAAATAGGATATTACAGTATTTAAAAATGCATGCGATTGTTAACAGAAAGGAAGTCTAATGTACTGACACCCTTCCGGATTACCAGTTCCAGTCATTAATTGCTCTCTGTGTAAAGAAATACTTCCCAATATCTGTCCTAAAACTGCTCTTCACAACTCAAAATCTGTATAGTGCTTCAGTTAGGCAGTATTCCAAGTGTAGCCTAACTAGAACACTATACAGCTTAAGCAAAACTTTTGATTGGACAGATTTGGCAATATAGCCCAACATCCTGTTTGCCTTACTTATTTACTGCCTCACAGTTTTGGACATAGCTTAATATTTATGGCTTCTCAGATTGGAGTTCTATCTGCATTGCACAGCTCCAGAGGTCAGCAGGTGATCAATGAAAAAACAGAGAGCAGTGGAGAAAAAACAGAACAATTCACTTATTTTGTGGTTAAAGTCGACAGCAGCTAAGTGTAATTTAATGGAACCAAAGTTATGGCTCAAGAGGGAAGAGAGGGGTATGGAGATAGGATATGGCAGTAGGATTAAATGGACAGCTTGCTCTGAGAGCTGGTGCAGACTCAATGGATCGAATGGCTGACTTCCGTGCGGTGAATTTCTATGATTGTAATCTCCAAAACAGCAAGGAACTAAAGAAAGCCTAAATCAGGAGCTTTACATACTAAGCCTGGAAAATAATACACTGTACTAAGTCTATTACATAACATTTTAAATTAGAAATGTAATGTGGTAGAACTAGACAAGATTATATATTCCATCTATATAACTGGGATCAAATCTATGCATTCCTCCTGGCAGTAAAGTGATATGGAGCAGGAAGAATGTGCTCCAGTCTATCTTTTACTTTGGTCAGGGTGGTTCGTGACTTTTAAGCACCACTATGCTTAAAAGTATCCAACTCAGGCTGAGTTTCACGTATGCCACCTCTAAATGGAAATGTCCCCGTGTTTCAAATGGAAAGTGTAAATGGAAGGTGCACTCTCTCCTCAGGCGTCCGGACACACCCTGCCTGTCAAATTCCAGAGAGTATTATGCAGGCTGGCAAAAGCCAAGGTTTGGGGATCCCAGAGTGTGCATTGGGGTAGAGTTGGGGTTTTACCAGCCAATATTGCATAGATTGCAATTGAAAGCACTGACTGTCAAGCTTCCTGCTGCTTGTACAGTTATGCGTGTGGTATAAAGTCTCCAGGAACATCTAGTGTTTCTGGGGCTTCCATTCTATAACTGAATTGTAGAGTATAGGAATGCACAGGTCCAGCAGAGCATTATGATTCCCCTAGCTGCTCCAATTGAGTACTTTGAACCTGTCTTCACAAAAGAAGAAGATGCAACCAATGCCACAGTATCGGAGGAGATGGTAGAGAAATTGGACAAGATAAGAATAAACTGAGAGGTCCTAAAAAGGTTGTCGGTGCTCAAGGTAGATAAGGCACCCGGTCTGGACGGGATGCATCCTAGATTACTGAGGGAAGTCAGAGTGGAAATAACGGAGATTCTGGCTACAATTCTTTCAATCCTCCTTGGACACCGGGGTGGTGCCAGAGGACTGGAGGGTTGCAAATGTTACTCCCCTGTACAAAAAGGGGCAGAAGGATAAACCCAGGAACTACAGGTCAGTCAGCCCAATGTCAGCACCTTGGGACGTCCTCCCGACGTGAAAGGCGCTACACAAATGTAATCTTGTTGTTGTTGTTGTAGGGGGAAAACTTCTAAAGACTATAATCCGGGACAAAATAAATTTTCACTTAGAAAAACATAGGTTAATACAGGACAGCCAACACAGATTTGTTAAAGGCAAATCATGTCTAACAAACCTGCTAGAGTTTTTTGATGAAGTAATGGAGAGGGTGGATGAAAGTAGTGCAGTTGATGTATTTATATGGATTTTCAAAAGGCATTTGATAAAGTGCCACGTCAGAGACTTGTAAGCAAAATAGAAGCCCATGGTATTAAAGGGACAGTGGCAGCATGGATACAGAACCGGAATGGGAGACAGAAAGCAGAGACTGGTTGTGAATGGTTGTTTTTCTGACTGGAGGGAAGTATGCAGTGGTGTCCCCCAGGGGTCAGTATTGGGACCACTGCTGTTTTTGATCTATATAAATGACCTGGATTTGGGTATAGGGAGAAAAATTTCCAAGTTTGAGGATGTTACTAAGATAGGAAAAGTAGTCAACAGTGAGGAGGATAGTAGCACTGCAAATGGACACAGACAGACTGGTAAAGGGGCCGACACGTGGCAGATAAAGTTTAATGTGGAGAAATGCGAAGTGATGCATTTTGGGAGGAAGAATGAGGAGAGGCAATATAAGCTGATGGTACAATCTTAAAGGGGTGAAGGAACAGAGTGACCTGGGGGTTCATATAAGTAAATCTTTGAAGGTGGCAGGACAAGTACAACAACAATAACAAGATTACATTTGTATAGCGCCTTTCATGTCGGGAAGACGTCCCAAGGCGCTGGACAGAGTACAGCATTTCAGACCCGAGCTGGGGTCAGGGGGGGAAGGGAGGGGAGTGGAAGGGGGGTGGCCGATGGCATGATCGAAGAGGAGGGTCTTGAGGTGGAACTTGAAGGAGGCTAAGGAGGGGGCGAGGCGGAGTGACTGGGGGATGGTATTCCAGAGGTTGGGGGCAGAGTGGTTGAAGGCTCTCCCGCCAATGGTGGGGCGGGTGGGTTGGAGGACGTGGAGCAGGCCAGAGCCGGCTAAGCGGAGGGAGTGGGTGGGTTGGTAGGGGGTCAGAGGATCGCAGAGGTAGGATGGGGCGAGGCTATGGAGGGCTTTGTATGTGAGGACCAGGATCTTGAACTGGATCCTCTGAAGGATAAGGAGCCAATGGAGTCGGGCGAGAGTGGGGGAGATGGGGTCATGGAGTTTGGTGCGGGAGAGGACACGGGCTGCAGAGTTCTGGATTATCTGTAGCCTGTGGAGGGAGGAGTTGGGAAGGCCAAAAGCAGGGCGTTTGCATAGTTGAGTCTGGATGTGATGAAGGCATGAACAAGAGTTTCAGTATAGTGGTGGAGTCGGGCGATGTTACTGAGGTGAGGGAAGGCAGAGCGGGTCATGGCTTGAATGTGGCTAGATAAAGGTAGATAAAGCTGTTAAACAAGCATATGGGGTACTAAGCTTTATAAATAGGGGCAAAGAATACAGAAGTCAGGAAATTATGATGAACCTTTATAAAACACTGGTTAGGCCTCAGCTAGAGTATTGTGTTCAGTTCTGGGCACCACATTTTAGGAAGGATGTCAAGGCATTGGAGAGGGTGCAAATGACATTTACCAGGATGGTACCAGGAAGGAGGGACTTCGGTTATTAGGAGAGGATAGAGAAGCTAGGATTATTCTCCTTGGAGCAGAGAAAGTTAAGAGGAGACTTAATAGAAGTTTATGAGGAGATTCGATAGGGTGAATAAGGAGAAACTATTTCCACTGGAGGGTGGGTCGGTAACCCAAGGACACCGATATAAAATAGTTGTTAAAAGAAACAGAGGGGAGGTGAGGAGACATTTTCTCACACAGCGAGTTGTTCAGATCTGGAAAGCATTGCATAACAACTTTTAAGAGAGAAGAAGATAGTTATTTGGGGAGGATAAGTTTGCAGAGCTGTGGGAAGAGAGCGGGGGAGAGGGATTGAAATGGATAGCTCTTTTCAAAGAGTCGGCACAGACTTGATGGGCCCAATGGCCTCCTTCTGTACTGTATAATTCTATGGTTCCAATTATCCCAAATGCCATTCCTCACAATCTCACTCGCCCCATTCAATCCCCTCTATCCTTTGCCTAATGTTTGCATCTTTCTCCAGCAAACTCTTTTGAGAAGATCATGGTTTTTAAACTTTTAATCTTGAAATATTATGTACAAGTATTTTGAATGTGTGTCACCGGATGTACACTATCATTACAGTGGTCCATTGGCTCAGTCAGATATTTAGAAAGGGTGACACATGTTTAAGGTGACTTGTCATCACTTATACAATATTACTACCCCATGAAATTTCATTTCTCACCATTGCTGCAGAGGAATATAGAGCTTATACACATTTGTTAGTCTTACTTCAGAGGTAAATGCTCTTTATGTTTGTTTTTAGAAAAATCTTTGAACACTTTTTCCCCCTTTAGATTTAGTCACAGTAATGAATCTCATTACTGATGTATAGCAGAAAGAGAATACTTCAGAAAATAGCTGATTATGGCAAATAAGCTACACATTGTCACTCTACGTAACCCTATTATTGGTAGAATTGGTCCAAACGAATTAAATATTTGCTTGTGTGTATCCTTACCTTCTCCAAATGTATCAATCTTTACAAGTCAAAGAATACCTATTAAGGGCAGGGTATTCTATAGCAATTCACTAATAAGTAGTAAGCCATGCACATCTCAGAATGCAGTAGCATGGTAAATATACAGTACCGTACAGTATGGGAGAGTCACAATAATTTGAGGGGTAAAATATTTCCAAGTTTTACTTACGGCGTTTCTAACATGACTTTGCATACACTGGCCATTGTGCTTAGACAATCAGTCGTATTTTCTATAGGCAGCGTCTTGTTCTAAGTACAGATAAAAGCAATCAGTTTTAAAGGTTTAAAACAAAAGAATCAGAACATTTGTAAACACTATTAAGATAAGCATTACCTGACCACCAGGGGGACTCAGCATTTATTTCCATATTTTAATAATATTAAACAAACACAAGGCCTATTCCTTTATCATAAGATGCAGAATATAATAATAATCCATGTATTTGATATACATGTACAATAATAACCCTTGTAATAATCCATGCATTTGATAGAGCGCCTAGTCACGACATTGAGATCTCTCAAAGCGCTTCACAGGACATATTGTAAAGTGAACATAACACAAAATACTGCTGATGCTGGAAATCTGAAACAAAAACAGAGAGAGCTGGGAAAACTCAGGTCAGACAGCATCTATGGAGAAAGGAAAACGAGTCAACGTATTGGGTCCACGACCCTTCGTCAGTTCTGAGTTTTCCTAGCTCTCTCTGTTTTTGTTACTGTAAAGTGAATTGACTGAATTTTGTGGGCGATTATTAGTTGGTGTATTATCCAAGTTGACAGCCAGGGTCAGTGTGCTTTGTTAGATTTCAGTTCTACTCCTAATATCTTTGAACTGAAATGTAGCTCAAAGATGTAGTGTAAATGAGAATACAGCAATAGCCTGTTTACAGGATCCCAAGATTCTTTAAATCTGACCTACTGACTATGACAAGGTATCTATGTTTCCTTTTATCTTATTCAGACAGTAGCATCATCTTTCTGCAAGAAAGTGCATATTGATTCCTTTAATTTTAGCTACATTTAATATTAAATTAAGTTTCTTACGTCTGGATAGAATGTCATCTATCTCATGCCTGTAAGATAACAACAACAAAATTACATTTGTATAGTGCTTTTCACGTCGGATTACGTTAAATGAAAACATTTCTGATTTTTGTAACATATATTGAACATACAAAACAATGTGTTTGTTCTTTCTCTCCGGTTACTAATCTTGGGACACAAGTGCTTGCTGCACCCAGCTGGAACGCTGTACTATTAGACATTGGGACAGTAATCTGATTCTGAGGATTCACGAGAACCAAGCGAATTTTGGGACGTCCTCCTGACGTGAAAGGCATGAGATAGATGACACTGATTCCAGAGGTAAGAAACTTAATTTAATATTAAATGTAGTTAAAATTAAAGGAATCAATATGCACTTTCTTGCAGAAAGATGATGTTACTGTCTAAATAAGATAAGAGGAAACAGAGAGACCTTGCATAGTCAGTAGGTCAGATTTAAAGAATCTTGGGATCCTGTAAGTGTAGGGATCTCTATCTGGTTGATCGCTGCCAGGTACATGTCACGCACGTTCAATAAAAACAAGATCAGGAATAATATTTACTATAGTTTTAACATTAATGCATTAATGTTTATACTTTTATCTTGCATTAAATACTTTGTGGCTTAGCATCTGGCTTAGTTTTCAATTTGACTCAATATCGACACAGTTCTATCGCTTCTAACATAACATAACATGTAGGAGCAGGAGTAGGCCATTCGGCCCTTCGAGCCTGCCCCGCCATTCAATCATGGATGATCTTCTAATCTAACTCCAGCTAATAACCTCCTTCCTCTTGCCTTTTTTGATCATACGTGACAGCACCCCCTGGTGGTGACCGACCGGTTGGAGACCCCTGCTGTAGGGTAATGGTACTCCTGAACCCTCAGGATTGCAACCCCTACACACGACATGCATATTGCCTCTGTAGTAGGTAATGTTCAAAGTGTTTGCCTTGGGACTTGCAAGCCTTGGCAGGTTTCTGATACATAATCAAAGGTGTAAAATCACTGTAGGTGAGACTTAGCTTTCAGTTGAATGTCGACAAGCCTGAGGCTCGCCTGCTTGGCGCCCATCAGTGCCTCCTCACCTCAGAAACTGACCGAATTTTCTGCACAGATTCCCACTCCAATTCATGGAGCTGGTGCAGAATCTTGTTCGAACCTCAAGTGTGCTTCAAGCTGTTCATCTGTGCTCTCACTTTCTCAATTTTCCTTCACCTCTACAACAATGTCCACCTCTGTCACTACCTCTCCCCTTGGGTTGCCAAGGCCCTCGTCCATACCGTCATCATGTCCAGGCTTGATTATTCCAATGCTCTCCTCAATGGACTCCTCCCTACACAAGCTGCAGACTATCCAAAAACTGCAGCCCATGTCCTTTCCCATACCATGCTCTGTGAACCTATAACCCCTATCCTCACTTGGCTCCACTGTCTCTCCCTCTCCCAGCGGATCAAATTCAAGACTTGACCTCACTTTCAAATTCGACAATCTCAGTCCATCCTACTACTGCAACCCTACTGCTTAGATTACCCCCTCAACTTAGCTAACACCAACTTGCTTCATGTCCCCACTGATCCTCTGCGCGGTGAGAGCTGGGGACGGTTATCTTTGACGCTGGCAAAGATAAAGCTTAAAAATGCAGTTTAGCAAACCAAAGAATTTCAAGGAGCCTCAAATGGACGAGCAGACCATGAAATTGCTTGGCTTTGTTGTGTTTGTGGCCAGTGGCCTAGAGACATGGTTGCTGTAGGAATCTCTCAGAAGAAGAGAGAAAAGGAGGCTCAAGAGTATCAGATGATTCTCTCTATAACGTTTGAAACTGATCTTCAGGAAGAGAATATGCAAAGAAAAGCACTTAACATGGAGTGAAATTTAGTAACAATATCAGTTGATGCCCTCAGACAGGCATTGAGAAGTTGCAATCTTGTAATAGCATTAGATACTCGCATTATTAGAGTGTTTCAGATCAAATGCAAGGATTCACATACGTAACGTGTTCTTTACCTTTTAAAAGTGATTCAGTTCAATTTAAAAAAAAACATGAATTTGTGCCTTTTAGGTTTGCTTTTTTCCCCCACATATTTTGGAGTTATATATAATGCACATCTTTCTCTCTCCTCACGAGATCCTCCTGCACCAGTACCAAGATGAATAATCACAGATCTACTACAATTCTCATAACTAGTTGCTAAGTGTATAAGAATAACTTAGAATGACTTGCTGATTTATGATTTATTTCTCTGAGGAGGTATCTCAGCTATACTCAATACCCATAAAGCCTTGAAAACATATCAAAACTTTCCAGTCACTCCCAAGTACAGAACACGGCTGTAACCAACTGGGTGCTCCACTGGGTAACCTAGAGATATAGTTGGACTAATGAGTACCTGAACTAATGTGTTATTGCTCTGTCAAATAGCAATATACACAAGACCAACAAACATTGAGATCCATCTGGCTAGCTGAAAAATAAAAAAAACACGCAGTACTCATACCCCCAAATCTATTTCTGACAGTTCACATTTCCTGAATGCATTGGATATGTGACACCAGCAGACAGATTGTTGTACACCTTGAACAAATGGTAAAAGATCAGATGAAGAACCAAACCAAACTAAGGCAGATACGGTCAATCACAAACGAGTCCATCAACTAGTATATATATATATACCTCTGATACAAACTTGGTTGTTGCATCACTGAGCGTTTTTAACATTGGTGTAGCTTCTGCATAAAATAGGGACATTCTGTTGGCCATTTCATTGTTTACTTCATTCTCGGCATCTAACTGCTGAAACAAAAAGAAAGCATTGAAGAAATTAATCAGATAATTAATAAAATGTACTGCCACATAGATGTATAAGACATCACCACTTACGTGCATATTGTTAATTCTGTTACGACTAATTGTTCGTCGATAATAGCTAAAGTCATTCTGAATGGCTGGATTTTTCATCTAGAGGAGAATACAAAATGCACATCGTAAATTTATATTGTAGCATTTTCCAAATCCAAAAGACTTAAGAGAATATTTGAACACAAACAGTTTTTTCCAACCTTTAGTTCATCAAAGCGAAGAGTGAAATGCAGAATTTCTGCGAACTGTTTGGCCAGGGCTTGCTCACGTTCCAGATGTTGAGTTGGAGTGTAAGGTGGACATGTCAAAGACTCCAAAAGACTTTGTAATGCTTTCTCTGCACGGAGAACATAAGAGTTAAGAGTGTAAGTGTCTGTTCAAGACTTCAAAACTGCTCCACATCTGGGCCCGTCTTTTAGCATCTCTCACACAGTCCTGGACACACTCCTTCCATCTGGGAGGTGAGCTTTTTCAGTCCTCTTGGGATTATTGTTGAAATCAAAACTCAACTGCACCCTCTCTAGTAAATCATTCTTTTCCAACACCTCAAAAGTGTCTTACTTCACACAATCTCCTCTTGCAAGAATTTTTAAAAAATCTCAACCTCAGTGTGATATAACATTACTCTTAATTTCTCTCACCTTTTCAATCTTGACACAGCTCCCCCCAAACACAAATAAAATGTAAAACATTCCCTAAGAAGGTCACCGAAGATTAAGTATATAATGTGGTTATTGATTTATTCTGCTCAGTGCTTGCCACTAAGGCAGAAGGATCAGCCTTGTTTCCTACCAGGATTTGTGCAGCAGGTTGGTCAGCCAGCTTGTAGCATGTCACTTCTGAAAAGCATTTTGAATTTACTGGAAGTGACAATTCATCTTAATTAAAGATTAGAGATCCTAAATGCTTGTTCGGATATTTCTGGAATTTAACCAGTTAAACCCATATATAGATTTTCATTGCATGTTCAGTATTAGGGCATGAACTTGTTGTGAGATGTCTACTCCAAGACCTATTAATGAGCCAGATAGGCTGGTCAATCAGTAACAATGCTTTGGAATACAATGGGATCTGCCTGACTCAGGTCTTACAGAGTACACCAGAGAGCTGACTTGTCACCACTCTCCTTGCTAAAGGCAAAACACCTCAGAGACAACTTAACCCAGAGAGAACCGGCTTACACCCACCTCACACAATCCATTTAATCATGGATTACTTACTGTAACATTGGACTGTCTGACAGATGGACAAGACATTACAGAAATAAAGTTACCCAGTCTTAAAGAGAATTCATAGAATCGCTTAAGCCTTCCAACTAGTGGGCACACTGAATTCCATGCTCTGTCCTGTAGCTGACCATCACTGGGATTTTGAATTGCCTGAAAAAAATAATCAAATAAGAGGGCTTAAATTTCTCTGATGTTTGGTATATTAAAAAATCATGAAATTATTTCACAAGAAAGAATGTTTGCATTTTTCAATGATTACATCAATTATTTCTTTCTAATTCCAAATGTGGTCAATATTAAATACAGTAGACTATTTTATTCCAAACATAGTACTTTAGCTGATTTTAAACTATTATACAGCATGTTCTGTGCCTGAAAAGTCCATTGTTAGTTTAGAACTTTTAATGTTGTGCAAGATTGGTATCGCTGATAAACAATTCTGATCCAATTTCTCTGGAGACAGTGACATACGACTTCAGATTCTTCACATTATATGATGAATTTTTTTTTAAAAAATGCATAGTTTCATAAATTCACTTAAATAAAAGAGGATTCATTGTTCGACACAAACACAGTATATCATATACATTGCAGAACTTTTCAAGTAAACTTTTGAGAAATTGAAAGGCACCATAAAGATAATATTGTTTAGCATTTCCATTATTGAAGTTAAATCAACATTCGGAAGTATAAATTTTACTGGCATACATCTCTTATTTCTTGCCCAGCCCCTTTGTATGCTTGCAGCTCAGTTAGAATACTTTCAGAATCCTGTAGCACTGCATTGACTTGATTCCACACCTCCTGCTCTCCATCTGTAGGTTGTGCATCTATGTAAAATGAAAAGCAATGAGTTAAATAAAAACAGTTCCCCCTACAACTTGAACTTAGCAGTAAAATAAATTTTATAAATAATCAAATCTACCAAAAATGATTAAATGACTTTGGTCTGATGTAAAGTAGTATTGTTATTTGATTTTGGACGTGAATATTTTGATAAAGTATGTTGGAAAGATCTCCTTTCAGTTTATGACAAAACATAAACAGTGGGGAAAAAAGCAATTACCTGTCTGAGACACAAGGCAAATAAATTCTGCTCTGTATGAATTCAGACCAGTTTAAATTATCACTCCTTAGATTGCAAGCCACATTAAACTAATATCATTAATATATTAAAATATAGTTGAGATAAAACAGTTTAATGCTGAGCTAGGAACTTCACTGCAAATTTGAGCTGTCTAATAAAGGAGTTAAAAGTATGCACTATGACTTGTTCAATTACGTGCATCCACAAATACCTCAAAAATGCAGAAATTATTCCCAATAAATTTTCACAAAATGTTGTGGGAACATTGGAACAGCGGTAGACCAGTCATTTTTTAAGATCAAGGCAGATTATTTAATCCCTTTTCTCTCACTTTCCTTACTTCACTAAACTCTGCCTTGGGTGTCGAGGGGTGGGGGATTAAAGAAGTTGCGGTTCTCCTTGGAGCTAAACTATCAGGGCAAGTCCCTCCATTCCATCCCAGACATGGGGAAATTTCCATGACATACTCTGGTTTGGATATTTGTAAGCATGGTGATGGGTTTTCGCACGTGTCGATGCTTGGCTAACGAAAAACAAATTCTCCCAAATAACTTTTAAACCTCCCAATCAATTCTGCACTTACTGCACCTTTCGAGGGCCATTAGTAAACAAGTAAACAGACAGAAATTTTTAGGCGAATGTTTTCCACATCCAGATAGGGAAGTTTTTCCTCCCACCCTGTGGCGCAGCATAAGGATTCATCCTTAGTCCCCTTCTCTTCCTTATTTACATGCTCCCTCTTGATGATGTCGTCCCCAGACATCGGGTAATCTTCCACATGTATGCAGATGACACCCAAATCTACTTCTCCTGCTGCAACTCCAGATCTGTTGATGTTCTGTCAGCTTGTTTGTCAGACATCAAAGCCTGGATGAGTCCAAACTTCCGGCAGCTGAAAGTCAACAAGATCGAAGCCATATACCTTGTCTCCCATCAAGGTCATCTCTCTTGTGGCTCTGACCTCCTTAACCTCCCCTGCCTATCCCTAAGACTTACCGAACCCGTACATAAGCTAGGCATCAGGTTCGATTCACAGTTGTCCCTCCTACCCAACAACCAGTCCCTAACCAGAACTGCTTTCCTCCACCTCTGTCACTGACCGTACCTCCCATCCAATGCAAACAAAACCCTCATCCATGCTTTCATCATCTCCCGCCTCGATTATTCCAATATACTCCTCGCCAGTCTCGCCAGCTCCACTATCCACAAAATCCAACTGATTCAAAACTCCACCACCCTTATACTCACCCACTCTAAACTCTGTATCCCCATCACATCAGTCCTCACAATGTCTACAAATTCCTTCACGGCCTGGCACCTCCCTAACTCTCTGAACTTCTTATTCCCCACTCCGCCACCTGACATCTCCACTTGGCTGGCTCCAACCTCCTGCTTGTCCCTTGTCCCCTCCAACATCAGCAACTGTGCTTTCAGCCACTATGCCCTGAAACTTCGGAAACTCTCTCCCTCAATCCCTCTGCCTTGCTCACTACTTCCCCTTTTTCAGATCAAGAATCAGGCTCTCCTGGAGTTTAATCTGCTAAAAATAGATAGTTTGTCATTGAAAGCACTATCTGGCAAGTTTCCCACTGTTTGTCTAGCTAAGTGCTCTGAGATGCTACCCTGCATGGAGGGTGCTATATGTGCAAGTTGTTATCGTTGTTGTTGCAACCCTACCGGTTAGGGCTTTCAGGGTTAAAAAGAGCTGATTGAGAAAAACAAATGCTTTTCCCAGTGCCTAACTAGTCCTCCAAGTCTTGCTGGTGAGCTATGTTGGCTGTTTAGTCATCAGCAGTGTACCATGGATCAGGAACCGAACTAACAAGATCTCACACAGGATTGACTCGATTTTGATATTCGACTGCTAAGCAATTCACGGTGGAGCTATCTCAGCTCCAAGGAAATCTTTCTTAACTTACCTTCTATCTCCCACCTGTCCCGATCGGTCAAGACACCCACAAATATGTTCCAAAATTAGTAGTTTCAGTGCACTACCAGCCATATCAAATACTGAATACCAGCAGCTATAGTGTTTAGAATTATGTAACAAACCTAGGGAAGAATTTGTGGCAGAACTGACTTATACTAAATTATATTTTTACTGGGCTGGTTAAGCAGACTCTAAATGGTTTGCCTTGTTTCACAGCAGCTGATGCATGGATAGGATATCAAATCTTACTGTAAGCATTTGTTAGAAAAGGTAATCACTTAGTTGGGCTAGATAGTGGTTCCTGTAATGACAAGGAACCTAATAAAATTTATAGAATTGTTTTTCCAATTACTGTAAAAGTAAATATTTACTTTCATCATAGTTTATTGGGTATATCTTCAATAATTCATCACATCAAGCACATACTGTATTCAGTGCAATACCAGTAATGTCTCAATAGATAATATGATCAAAGGTTTATGGATAATAGACATTGCTGGTTACTTCAATCAAGAGTGAGACCTTATACCAGGAGAAAACAGCAAAGAGTACATGCAAATTACCACCGTAATCCACACAATGTGAAGCATTCCAGTGCATATTCTCTCCCGCACATCCACCTCAGTCAGGAGAATAGGACAGCCAAGCCCCCTCCCCTACATGGCTACCAATGCTGCTCTCCTGGCCAATAAAGGCTCCATTCACAGTTCTCCCTCCCTTCCAAAAAAAATGTAAGTCAAGCCTATTTACAGTAAAAAAACAAAATAATGTTGCAAAGGGAGAATTTTTCCTTCAAGCTAAATCATAACTTTGTTCACTGCTGTTCACAACAATGAGTATCACAGAGCAAAAAGAGTGTCGATAGGAAGGAAACATGGCTGAAGTCACTTTATATATTCAGGATCTCAAGTGTAGTGTACAGTGGCATGTGGCATTACCACTGAGCCAATCGCAGTGGTTGACAGCTTGAATGACTTTAAACTGTTGTCCCACACAATGAAATTTATAAAGTGTGATCTTCTTAAAAGAAAATCTATATTTTTATAGAAAATGAATCTGGCTGGAACATCTATGAAACATAAAAGATCTGGAATGAAGTAAAACTTAAATGGACTTTGCATACAATTAAGCAAAAGACACAAAGCTCCTGAAACCAACCCGACACCTTTGCTGCTGCTTTTCCTCCAGCTGCAGTAACTGAAATTGGGATAAACAAAAATATTCTGCTTGGCAAATATTGAAAGGAGATCGTTTTACAGAGGAAGTTTGTACATCATGTTCTGTTCAGACTTACAAAATTATTTGTGTGTGTACATATTATATATATATTCTATTTACATATATACTGTATATATACTATATTTACATATATATATTAAACATACCACACACAGATACAGAAATATAATTCCATAATTTAAATACTTAACTAAAGTGTCCTGAATGTTGTAGGGAAAAGGGGAAAGAAACGAGTTCTGCCCACAGTAGAAAGCCCTAGTGCAATGAGTTTTAATGACAGGCAGGTCATTAAACTAGACCTGCTGAACAGTACATACTTTATCCAAATTGCCCAGGGAATATTTTGATATAGATTATGCAAAAACCATGCCGTGCATACATTTTCTGAAAAGTTATTACCATACACTTTACAATAATTAGTTAGTCAAGAGATCCAATAGCTAATTAAGGTCATGCTTTAAATGTTCAGACATTAATATCCAGTGGAGATTACATGTATAATCAGAGTGGAAAAATTAACTTACACATAGAAAAGCCAAACTTTACATCCCAACTCACTATAAAATAGTTACAGGCAATTACACAACTCAGTTTCAATTGCTTAGTAGAGGAACCCATATAACAAATGTTATTATTTACAGTGCTAAAGTTAAATTGTGATCTACAAGCATCTTAAATTACTCTAAAACAGCAGTCGTCAATGAAGCATGGCAATTCTCACTGTCAAACACATTTTTCCACACTGATGTGAGCCAGTTTGATGGCTATTGCAAACATGTTTTTTAAAAAGCGAATGGGACACATTAAGAAAAGTTAACCCGAGTTACAAAGTATTGAGGTAGGAAGCATTGTTTAAAAACATGCATTATTTAATTAAGTCTGAGGGGTAAGGGTATGCAAGGAACTAAAGAGTGCTATCAGTACCTTCACAGTCAAATTTTAACTAATTCCGCTCTGATTTAAATCAACTGTGACCTAGTTTATGAATTATGATAATCTGGGAAGATGCATTATATTTGGGTGCTTGGAAAACTCACAGCAAATTCAAAACATCTGGAACAAGATCATAACATGTACTCCTGATAAGTGATAACCCATTATTTAAAAATGTGCTGAAATTCTAATTGTTATAGAATGCACAACCCATCGCTGATTTAAAATACATACACCCTATCTAATCAATTGAAGAAAAAATGCTGCTTTAAAAGAGAAGATTCCCATTACTTTTCTCTTTACTCTCCTCAATTTTATTCTATATAGAAGATACAATTTATCCTCCAGTATTTCATCCAAGTGGTCATTCTTCTTGTTTGAGACTTTATAGTTATTCAACCATAGGAGAATATCACAGCCCTTGGCCTCAACTGGCACTCCAACATGAACATCCCCATAAGGATGTCAGGATAACAACCAGGAGTGGTTGCCCTGACTGATATTATCTTTCCTAACACAATGTATTTCTGTTGTGACTTTGCTGAGCTCAGCACACATATTGAACCTTCTTTATTCTCGAGTGCTCAAAGGAGCTTTCCCATCAAGTTTACTTTCATATGACCTGGTGATTTTAGAAAACAATCACAAGTCCCAAATTATCCAACTTATTAGTCTATGTTGTCCTATCAATGTCCTTGGGCAAAGTTTTCAGCAATTTTATGAAGCAAACCCAAATAGGGAAAGGGATTTAAGGAAGACAGCTCCTGCAAACACCCATACCATTTTAGTTCCTTTCATACCCCTGGTCAGCTGCTATTCTACAGGCACATGCACAGTGGTATTAAGGTAGAAGCCGAGCAAGAGACTATCCTCACTTTCAAAGTCAAGAAAAAAATTTGGCCCTTGATCAAACTCTGTGCAAGTGAGAACTTTTAGAAGATTCCCCATTTGGTTCCTGAAAGAGAAGAAAGGGAAGAGAAAGATGCACTATGTGGTGAATATTAAAAGATTTATGAGGGGAAAGCTGTGATCAAGTTTGCTTTGTTGGGAGAAGTGAAAGATTTCCAGAAGTACTTTGTCCCTCAACCACATTCTGTGTGAAGGTTTGATTTTAAACAGCTGTGTTGTTGGATTTAGTGTCCATTGCTGCCCGACAGTGTAACTTACTTTCAAAATCCAGGAAAAAATGTGGATAGTTTTCAATCTCCCTGGTTAGGACCTTAAGTAGGTTACCCATCCCAGCAAACCTGATCAAAATGGAACACAAAGTTTTAAAACAACGTTAAATACAGGTAATGCAGAATATTTAACAGGTGCAGTTCTAAGTTATGTTTAAACAAAATTAAAATAATATAGGTAGTTAAAATATTCATTCTTAAATTCCATTCTTACAACCTATTTTGCGATACCAGTTTCCATTAAGCACAGGCCTACAATGTATCGCCACAGCCAACAGCAGTTTCTGCATTCTTCTGTAACTTAATGTTAAAGTACAAATAAATCAGAACCAGCAAACAAGTGGAACCAGATGCACCTCTTAAAATATTGTAGTAAGATGGGGCTCTCTGTAGGTTACTGGTCCCACAGCAGGTTAGAGAACAAATCAAACCTGGTGGCCCAAAGAATTTGTCGCTAGTATTTTTTCTTTTATGAAAATCCAATATCTGCAAATGCTGCACATTATCCATAATGAAACCAACAGTGCCGCTTTGAGCTGCTCATAAAGAAGAAGGAACTTTGAACCGAGATTGGTCGAGATCCACGTTGAGGTTTTCATTTAGCTTCAGAATTTTCCCCTCCAAAAAATAATCGACTATATTTTTTATATAAAGGCTTTCCTTCACAAAGCTAAGAGGCCATAAAGCTGACGTGGCCACCTGCTAAAGCCACCTTGTGACCAGATGCATGGATTCTCAGATTCCACTTCTGCTCTGTGAGTAAGGACCAAACACAAAACATGCTTTCATTGACTCCTCTATCCCTGATAAATGACTCATTGAATTTCCACATTTAAAATATAGGCTTATTTCCCTGTTGCTCTAATATGGCCTACAGAGACATCCATTTTAAATGATGAGCAGATGAACTGCTGAGCAGGACAAAATTTGTCCAAAGGGATGGAAGAACGCATTTACACCACTACACATTTCGTAGTTCAAGCCCGCTAACATCAGGACTAGTAGAAACTCTCCATTTTGTTCACTGTGAATCAATGCCACCAGAAACTATAGCGAACTCAAGTCCACTCTAAATGAACAGAAACCACAACACAATTTACATAGCACCTTTCATGTCGGGAGACATGCCGAGGCTCAAACTACCTGCAAAAGGGAGTCAAATCATCCAACTCCCGTTGAACAATTCAATTGTGACTATCAACAAAGAACCAAGGGTATTCCAAATAAAATCAGATAATTTTAAAACATAGGCTATTAGTTACCTGGTGCTATTGTTATCCATTTATTGCAAACTCATCAGCTGAAATGTTAACTAATGGGTGATATTTGTAAATAAGAAGGAAACAAAAATGTATTCAGAATACTTGTATGTACATCTAGTGCAATGCCATCATTTACTTCAGTAAGCGAGTCTGCTAAAATAGAGTAATAATCCTTGCATTTGATATAGCGCTTTATCACATCTTCGAGATGTCTCAAAGCGCTTCACAGAATATACTATAAAATGAATTGACTGTATACTTTGTGGGCGAAATGTGGCAGGTAATTGCGTACAGCAATGTCCCACAAACAGTCATGGATTGAGTGACCAATTTATTATTATTATTTTTTTTGAAGAAATTATTACCCCCGGAAAAGTGATCCTGCAATCAATTAACAACCTACTTACTGCAAGGTAAACAGAGGCGTGTGGAGTAAGGAAACTTGCCCAACATTTCATCCTGCCGGGAATAGAACCCAGGTCTCTTTCTTGCGAGGCAAGTACTTTAACCACTGAGCTAGAGGACTCCAGTAGTGCAGGTGGGCATGTCAGCTTCATGGCCTCATGGCTTTGTGAGAGAAAGTGAGAACTTAGTGATTATTTTCAGGAGGAAAAATTCAGAAGCAAACTGAAAACCTCAACGTGGATCTGGACCAATCTCGGTTCAAAGTTCCTTCTCCTTTAAGACCTGCTCGAGATGGCAGTGTTAAGTTTCATTGTGGAGTAAACACAAAGAAAACTTTGCATGCATAAACAAATTCCAATCTCAGGAGAGTGTACTTCAACTGATGTTGCATCTCTGTTTTCTATACGTCCTTGGTGACCAATAGTTCAACGAAGGCCTACCAATGTAGGTTTTTCAGAGGAGGCTGTTCCAGAGTTAAAACTTCTCCCAAGACTGACGATGCCTCTTTAAACAACAATTTCAAGAATTGAGAACAAACCTTGGAATTAACTAACATCTGGTACGCACATGAAGACTGAAAACTCATCTACAAAATTCCACACTGTTTGTTGAAAAAACCTTCCTCTGCAGGACAATCGAGATGCTTAACAGAACCTTCCAGAGTCTTGTGTCTCTTTATGTCCTCCCACATGGACAAAAACAACTGTATTGCTAATGATGGCTGCAGGAAGGGAAGGTCAATTTTTTTAATTTTGTACTTGTGTGGTGCTAACCATTTTAATGCTGCAAAAATAATCAATTGCAGCCCAAGAGCTGAACACTCCAACTCACCCTAATAACAGGAGTCCTGAAGCTTGTTAATGCCCATTCGGACCAGTGGAAATGCAAATTAATTGAATGCTCAGTAAATGTTTTTTTTCCATAAAGCACATTATGTTAGCATCCCCATTTCTCTGATAGGCATGCAACTAACAACTATTTATGCATGAGCCCAACAGTGAGGGTTTAATTTAATCCTTAATCCTTGCATTTGATATAGCGCTTTTCACGTCAGGAGGATGTCCCAAAGCGCTTCACAGAACACACTATAAAGTGAATTGACAGGTTATTTGCATATGCGTCCAAAGTAGATTTGAAATCTCATGATCTGAGATGCATGATGACTTGCAAGATGTAAAGCTAACTGGAAATAGCAGGACTGGGACTTCACCAAATCAAGGTCACACATAATGATCTTCAAATGAACACATTCATCGGTGGCAGTGAGTTGAGACTAATTGGAAGAACAGTCAGTGTCTGCCCTCCTGTCAGCAGAGAAAACAGTGCTTCTCTTAGCATATTCAACCATCTTAGTTCTACAACTTCCAACAACAGTAACAACCAGATACTTAATTTGTTTCTTTTTGGAATAGTTAATTCAACACAGCAGAAACTGTTTTTGCTAGTGTTTATACACGGTGGGAGAATTTATTGTGCTCGAGGCTTGTGGATTGAAACATTGCTATAACTCTTAGTCCATGTTACTCACAGTCCATGTCAAACAGTCAGTTTGTCTCTGTTTTGCCTCATTTACATAGGGACTGTCCTTGGAACCTAATCAACTGAAAACATTTTAATAATAATAATCCTTGCATTTGATATAGCGCTTTTCACGTCGGGAGGACGTCCCAAAGCGCTTCACAGAACACACTGTAAAGTGAATTGACTGTATATTTGTGGGCGAACGCGGCAGCCAATTGCGCACAGCAATGTCCCACAAACAGTCATAGATTGAAAATGACCAATTTATTATTGTTTTTGGTTTTGGAGGGATTATTATTAGGCTCTGTGTGGAGTAAGGAAACTTGCCCAAGGTTTCGCCCTCTGCCTGGAATTGAACTCAGATCTCTCACTTACAAAGCGAGTGCTCTAACCACTGAGCTACAGGACTCCTAATTTGGGTTATTTGACTGTGGAGAAGCACCACAACTGAGGCTAATCCTGACCTCACTCAAAATCCTCACATAAAGCACTTTCGAGATGGGAGTCACTGGATAGTGATTAAAATTAGGAAAACCCTGGTTGATTTTCCATTTCATAGTTCACCAACACAGAGGCCTCTTGTAGCATACCCACACAAGCCCCGGCTAAAGCCAGTTAGCTTGGGTATTGAAAACAAGACCTTCCTATGTGTATACAGCTGAGCCCCATTATTATACTGCAGTTGTGATCCATAAAATTTGGCTATTAATAAAAAGACTGAATAGAATATTACAAACGAACAGATAGCATCCCATTTCCTTAAGCAGCAATAATCATATTTCCTGCTGGACTGAGCTGAACCTTAATAGAAAGAACAAAATAAATCGAATATCTTCAATAAAAAACACAACAAACATATTAAAAACGCAGGAGTAGCAAAAGGGTGAGGGCAGACTAGACAGCATGCTTGAGTAATAATAATAAAGCCTAGACGGTGAACAAATATGATGATTGATCTGGTAATTGCATCGAATTTATAAAGAATAACACTACAGAAGTCATAATTTTATCCAGACATAAATGATAAATCATGAGCAAAACAGCTCAATTCTCAAAGCTGCAGACAACAGGGACACTCCGCCAACCAAAGGTTAGCCAGTCCCAGAGTTCTTGACACTCTTCCAACAGTTATTCTTTGTGTCGTCAGGACCAGTTTCAATCCAGCTCTGTCCAGAACATACTCCATTTGCTTATCCCTGGTAGCTCAATCAATTGAGACAAAAAGGCTTGGAGTTTGAATCCCAATGGATTTATTGTGGCCTTTCAAGGTCAATAAAATTTGAATGTTATCTAAAAATATCCTATCAACCTAGTGTCAACCTGGCTCAATTGACAGCACTCCTCAAAGGTTGTGGGTTCCAGCCCTACCCCCAGTCTCTGAGCTCAGTCTAGAGCTGGGGCAGCACTACATTTTAGAAGTAATAATAATAATCCTTGCATTTGATATAGCTCCTTATCACGTCTTCGAGACATCTCAAAATGCTTCACAAGATATATTTAAAGTAAATTGACCTGTATTTTGTAGGCGAAATGCAGTCTTTGGATAAGATATTAAACCAAAGTCCCATCTGCCTGTTCAGGGAGACATTAAAAAGGGGGTTCTCCTGATATCCTGGCCAACAATCCCTGAATGAAATTGGTCATTTACTTCTGGCCGTTTGTGTCACATTGCTGCGTGCAAATCTCCTGCTAGGAGATCCTCCTCATCCTCACCTACAAGGCCATTCACGGCCTTGCTCCCTCTTACCTCTCCGACCTACTATCCCCCTACCTACCTGCCCGTACCCTCCGTTCCTTTGGCTCCGGTCTGCTCCACACCCCCGCCCCAACCGCCCTACCATCGGTGGTCGGGCCTTCAGCCTCTCAGCCCCGAGGCTCTGG